ATCTCCAGGGGTAATTCTCCTTCACGCTTTGCTGTGGCAACCGATATTTTTTGTACCATTCCCTACATTTAAAAAACAATTACGCCAAGCTAGGGCCTCGACCTAAATTAAAAGCCTGTCTTCAGTGTTGTAAACCCTCCTCGTAAATCAAGGCTTCCGTGCATTGCTCAGTCACTGTCTGTGAGAAATGAGAGGTCGCGAAAGGGCCCCTTCATTTACTTGTGGGCGTTTACACGGAAACTTTAGTCATGAAGGTGGGTGAGTCATGAACCCTAATGGCTTCATCGGTTCAGGGATCTGGCATGGCGGCACATCTCCAGGGATCCAATAAGAGGACCCAGAATCAGGAAGAGGCCAGCCATAACATTGTTTGTTTGGTCCTTCTCTGTAGGGATGTGTTGTACATAGAGCTTCAAAGTTGAGTTTTTTATTGAGGAAGTCTTTTTAAGTCATTACTTTGCATTCATTTACAATCAGTGTGGAGATGACACTGATTATGACCATATGACCATGTATCTTAAAACTGCTTTTCTTGATATATATATATATATAAAACAAAAAATCAATCCATCTAAACATTTTCTAAATCGCCCGGGGTGCTGGAGCCTATCCAAAATTACAAAATATAATATAAAGCGCAAGCCATCCATTCAGCGTGGAGTCTCTAGCCACAAACCCAGTAAGGACTTTGAAAGAAGGCGCGAGGATGTATCCTGTAAATAAAAAGCAGTATATTAGAAACTAGGGTTACATATCACGATACTGAACTCACGATACGATATTATTGCGATACTCCAAGACATATGGTAAAAGGTTAACAAAAATGTACAGTTGATTGAAATGCTGAATTTGCTATTACATTGGGGGTGGAAATGAATAGGTTTGGACTCAGTGCATGTAACGCAATGTACGGGACAATAGTGACACCAGAATAAAAATATTCATGATTCAGAAGCTGAAAATACAGAATTATTTTAGACGAACATGCTTGCACTTTGTCACTGGCTAGATATATTTAATATAATGTAGGCCTTTATATTAAATATAATATATTTAATACTGGTAACATAAGACTTTTGGCATTATCAGGACCCACAAATATTCCACCCCATTTTTTCTCACACAGAAATTTTCATTTTGGTTGAATTATACACAACACATATTGTCACTATCCACGATACATATTTATGCATTTTTGTACTGCGATATATTGTGACATGATATATTGTTACACATATATTGAAACATATTGCAAGAGTTTTTTGGATATCAAGTACATTTTTTAAATATTTACACTTTTCCCAATGCATTTTGCACTTTAAAGAATAACATTGCAGTAATAATGCCTTAAATTCCATGTCCCTCTACATCAGGAAATTATGCCTTAATATACCATGTGTCTGTAAACTCCCCGTAAGAGAAGAAAAAAAAAATTCAAATTCATTATACACTTTCAAAACTTTACAAGAAGAAACAAACCATCTGTTTCAAAAACAATTTAGTCAGCAAATATTTGAATCAACAGAAGGTAGACTTACACAACAGGGGACTTATCGTGTTGAGTGAATCATTTTTTATATTACATGATAATTTATTTGCCTCTAAGTAATACCTTCCTCCCTTGAGCTAATTGAAGCTGGCGCCATCCTCCTTTGGTGGGTAGCAATTTTCTCTCATTACAGCAAATGTTTGCTCATAAGAGAAGGCTCCGGAAGCCTAATAAGGTACTAATAAAAACAAAGTGATGACAGTTGCTGTCACCTGTGCCAAGTCCTGTCATGCAGTGTAATTAGTGAGACAAGGCTTGTGATCCTTTATTCACTGCGTTATCTGAGTTCAAAGACAATACATGAATTGCTCTCCTCAAAAAAAAAGAGCAGATTCGCATTGCACCTTATGGAGAAAACAAAAAATGAACCATCACTGAACTTAATTATGACGCTATTTTCTTCTAGGTCTGCTGTACAGCGGAAACAAACTTTGTTGCATTATTATCCTGTTATCACTGTAAAGCTGCTTTGAAACAATCTCTACTGTAAAAAGCTCTATTTAAATAAAGGTGACTTGACCTATGACCCTTATACTTGTCCTGGGAGCATTCGATTTAAACAATGTTTATGTTACCGACCAATGGTGATGTAAAGTTGGCAAAATATCATATTGCTTTTGAACTATGTTCGCAATTCTAACCAAAAGATAACATCTGCCAATCACGTTCAGTTGACAGAAATCCCTCTTGAGTAAAGAAAGATCAAGAAATGATATGGCCAGCCGACGAGTTTGATTTAGTGGATCATAGCGTGCGTGAAGCAGGGCAAATAGACGTGTAAACAGATTGTTAGATTGAAGAAATGTAAATGCCTAAAGCATTCCTGCACTGCAAAGCTGAGCCCATAATTACAATGCTCAAGGTGTGTCCAAACATACCAGAAAAACCAGGAGCGATCTTTTTGACATTTCAGTACTCTCTGACAAAACTTTCTCTGTTTATTTCTAAAGGTCAAAGAGATCAGGCAGGAAGGAAAGAGGATGTGTTGGTCAATTTCAAAAAAGGCTTATCCTAAAGGCTGATTTCCCTGCATCTCTTCTGAACGCAATATCTAAAGCATAACATTGCTTTCTTCTCTCTCTCTCTCTCTCTCTCTCTCTCTCTCTCTCTCTCTCTCTCTCTCTCTCTCTCTCTCTCTCTCTCTCTCTCTCTCTCTCTCTCTCTCTCTCTCTCTCTCTCACGGTGAGTGTTTCTCATATGTCTCCTGTCAGCTCCCATGATACTCAACTGCAAACGTACATCCTTCTCATCTATCACTACAGTACGGCAGTCTCTCTCAGTCCATCTACGCAAAGAGTCGGATTGTGCTCGACAAGGTGCCCGAGGCCAGGGGCGTGACGGCTGAGTGTGTGCATGCGTTGTGTGTTTGCGTGTGTGTGTAGAGGGAGGCGACTCCTCCTGAGTGGAGCCGCTAAACTGCCACAGTTTCTCCCCCGAGGAGAGGCGCCTTTCATCTCCCCGCTCACTGGCGCCTTCGCAAACCTCAGATTGTCTGTGAAATCACCCTGCTTAATAAACGCGCTGAGGCTCCTGGGAACGACAAGCTAGAAGAATCTCACCCTGCAGCATTAGTGCACATACAAACACACATAAAGACCAGTCCAACAAGCAGCTGATTGCTGCTCCTATTCATTACAGGAGAAGAAGGGGGATGTTTATTTGAAATGCGATTGCCCAAGTACCCTAAGTGTCATGGTTACAAACAATTCCCCCATTTAAGACGAGACCAAAAGCAATCCATCTCTGTTTAATGCCTTATTACTGAACAGCCTCAGTGTCCAGACATACATTTCATTATAGATACATTTCCCCTCTCTCGCTCTCTCTCTCAAAGCAGTCATTCGTGATACTTTGAAAATAACTCTTGTGCTTGAAGAGTAAACACCCTAATGCTTTCGTTAGGCGCTTACCACAGTAGCCACTAGCCAGGAACAAATACTTTCCCCCCCCCAAGGAGATTATATGGCATGCAAAGACACTAGCAGACAACAAAAGGCAAAAGAGCTTTTAGGCAAATAATCACACTTCACTTTATACCTTGGATAGTAATGATACATTGCATTGTACCGCCTCAAGCACTGTTTCTTTTCTGGGCTGCTGTTATACTTCCCTAATAGTGTAGTGTCCTGGTTTGTAAAGGATTGTGTAAAGTGAGATGTAATGGGACATTCACAGAAGACACTTGCATTAAAGCAGAAGCAGACCACAGAGCAGAACAAAATGATATGCATTTTTCAAAGTTGAACTGTTTTTAACATACTCAAACACAACATTCTTGGTGTGAAACTGATAAAACAGAAACACACACAAATATAAATATTGCACACAGTACAGGTCAAAAGTTTCGAAACTAGTTAACAATTTTTAATGTTTTTTGAAAGAAGTCTTATGCTTATTTAATCAAAAATACAGAAAAACAATAATATTGTGAAATATTATTACAATTTAAAATAATCTGAAATCATTCTAATATGATGATTTATTATCAATGTTTTTTTTTTTATAACCTGTGATACTTTTTTTCAGGATTCCTTGATGAATAAAAAGTTCAAAAGAACAGCATTTATTTAAAACAGAAATATTTTGTAACAATATGGCGTTAAAAAGTTTGGGGTCAGTAATCTTGTTCTTTCTTTTTTGAAAAAGGATGTGATTGATAAAAAGTGATAGTAAAGATTTATATTGTTAGAAAAGATTTCTATTATTTTGAATAAATGCTGTTCTTTATAACGTTTTATTCATCAAAGAATCCTGAAAAAGTATCAAAGTTTATAATTTTTTTTAATAATAAATCAGCATAGAATGATTTCTGAAGGATCATGTGACACGGAAGACTGGAGGAATGATGCTGAAAATTCAGCTTTGCATCACAAAAATAAATTATATTTTAAAATATATTAAAATAGAAAACCATTATTATAAATTGTAATAATATTTCACAATGGCTACCTACGTTTTTTCCCCGCGTTATTGATCAAATAAATGCAGGCTTGATGAGCATATTAAAAATAGTAATTTTTCCAAACTTTTGATCGAACTGTATATGTCTATATATCATACTTACACGCCACAACAAGTAAAACAAACTTAAAGTTAGCTGCTGGATTACGAATTTTGGGAAACAATCTGTCATATTTAATGGAAACTCTAATAGTCTTTATCATCTAAGTCTGTTATCTTTCTGTCCAATTTATCCATGGCCAGATGGCCTTACTTACCAAAATTGCAGAATCTTTCTCCTAATCGGTCGCTGACATTTTGTCAATCATAATGACGGACTCTTTCTTACAACACTCAATAAGCCAATCGAAAGAATTCCCTAATTCAGCAGCGTTCTCATTGGCTAAAAGTTTTACCGTTGCCGTGTGCTGCTGTAAGCCTTAATTTAGCCGCGCTCTGATTGGCTGAAAGTTCTGTTGTGGCCGCGTGCTTCAAGGCATCAAAGGCTTCATGCTTTTTGCATGAGACGTCAGAGTGATTGTGAAGGTCGCGCGTCCAGAGGCTCATCGCGAGGAGGACGATGTCCGCGACCGCGAGCTTGAAGGAATCAGACGGAGGAGGTCAGGACATGGAGCCGCGCAAAACTTCAGTGTCAAGCCATCCATTCAGCGTGGAGTCTCTTATATCGAGCCACAAACCCAGAAAGGACTTTGAAAGAAGACGCGAGGATGTTTCCAGTCAGTTTGCGAAGACTGAGATCAGGGATTCTTGTGGTTCGGCTGGAATACCAAAGCACTTTATTCAGACCTCACCCGTCAAATCCGAGTCCCCTGAGCCGGATGACTGCACTTCATGGGTTATGAACTCCAGGTTCTCTCAAACTCGTAAGCAATTTACCTTTCTTGAACTAACTGCTTGCTTTAAACTTAAATTATATATATATTAAGTCAGTACTTGTCGTACAAATTATCTTGCAACTAAGCTAATTGTGTTAGAAAATTACTTATAAACTTATAAGAGATATAAAAAGAGGCTATCTTCTCTACATGCTGTTTTAGGGTTTTTATAAATGTATCATATTTAGCTGCTGGTTGTTTCTCATTAGGCATCTTGCAACTAAAGCGAATGCATGTTTTATAAATGTAGTGTGAAAGATACATTTGGGCCCACGTCTGCTCTGAAAATATTCAAGCCTCAAGCTGAAAACTCAGATTTAATTAAAAACACAACATTATTATGAATTAAAATAAATGAAACACTTTTTGTTCGTAATTATTAAGCAGAATATCAATGTGTAGATTAATGCATTTACTCAAGTTTACTAAATATAACAAAGCCTGTTAATAATAGCATTATTTAAATTGTTGCTTTTCCTCCACCCCTTAAATACCTAATACTAATTATTAAAACGATCAAGTAAAACACAATAAGAATTCAAATAAATTACACATTCACGTGCATGCATTTTACACACTGTAAAAAAGGTAGATCAATAGGTTATGAAAACATTATTTTTACGTTGCTTTAACTCATAAAAAAGTTGAAAATTGCTTAACTTATTTTGAACTTAGGTTCAACTATTTTTTTTACGTCAGTTTAATGTAATTTAAGTTGTAATTACTAATTAAAAATTTAAGGCAGTGACTTTTTTTCTTCAGTGAAGGCTTGTTTAAAAATGTACTGAATGAGAACACTATTATTAAAACAATTAATTTTACACGGTTAGTTACTTACATTTTTAGAGTTTAAAATCAACGTTTTTGACCAACCTAGGAATTACATTGTGTTACACTAATGTTTAAACTTTTTTTTTTTTTTTTTTTACCACAGGCCAGGAAAGTGCCTGTCCTCTCCGCAAGCACAAGACCAACCGCAAACCCCGTACACCGTTCACCACCTCACAGCTCTTGGCCCTGGAGCGTAAGTTTCGGCAGAAACAGTACTTGTCCATCGCAGAACGAGCCGAATTCTCCAGCTCCCTCACCCTCACAGAGACCCAGGTGAAGATCTGGTTCCAGAACCGACGGGCCAAGGCCAAGCGTCTGCAAGAGGCCGAGCTGGAGAAGCTCAAACTGACCGCCAAACCTGCCCTGCACCCCAACTTCAGTCTGCCTCTTCCTCTCGGGACGCAGCTTCATTCGGCGGTCTCACTCTATGGCCAGTCGTACCCCTTCCACAGGCCTTTATTGCCCGTTGCTCCAATGGGACTCTATGGAACTCCTTTAGGGTACAGCATGTATCACCTGGCATGAGGAAGTGCTGCGATATGGACTAGTAGTGCTCTGTGGATGTACAAAAAGACCAGAAAGACAATGTTTACAATCACTGGGTGTCCGAAAAAAGCAACAACCAAAAAATGAAATCTGTCATAATGTGCCTTCACTCGCGCCTTAAAAGACCTGACGTGAAAATCGGGACGTTTTACCTCACTTTTCACTGACTGAAAGATCAAATTTGACCCTGTGGATGGATAATTCGGTTGCCAAACCTTGTGTGTATATTTGTGTTATACATCTTTATGTAATATATTGTCAAACTAATTATTTAGTGTACAAAATATTGTTTGAATTCGACTACATTTGATGGGGGTTTTTAATCCTGTAAAAATGTTCATCACGCATTGTTTTTACTTATCTAGAGATTGTTGTCATACCTGTAGCTATTATTGATGGACCGTGATTTCACCAAAAGCTCATAGTGTTATTTGCTTAATTAAGCGGCTAGGTGAATACGGGGAATGCATTGGTATTTCTAAAGATTTGACCGTCAAGTTCAATTTTACATCGGAAGATTACAGACCTTTTTTTTTTCTACACTTTGTGTTCACGTGCAACCAAGAGAGAAAAAAGTCAGAGTATGGAATATGCCGTTTGAAACTTAAATGTGGAAGTTTTATTTTTTATGCAACATTTTATATACATTTATACTGTAATTATAATTGACATTGTACAGTAAACGACAATTGGCGAGCAAACACAATCAGTTGATATTTACGTTTTATGTTTGAGAAACGTATATGAGAGTGTTAATTGCATTAGCAAGTTCTAATCATCTTTTTCACTTTATTCATTATCCGTGACGTTCACCTCCACCTTTTTAAAGTATATAAAAGTTATTTTTTACAGTTTTTCCCCCCCATGAATGAGCCTTTCTAAGCTAATACATTCTCGCATACTGATTTATGTATGAATACGAGTTCTATTTAAAAAAAGTCAGTGAAGTAAAGCAATATCCTACACTTTATATTAATTTTCATGAACCAAACATAATGTGATGCTGAACCGATCATAAATAAGAAAACACAGCTCAAGTAGAACGTATTGGATTTCTAACTAAATGATCATTGATTAAATAACGATCTATTCCACATGATATAAAGTAGTAATGTTTGATTATGCTGTTAATATAAAATGTATTGGATTAGTTCTGTTTCGCTTCTTTATTGCCCTGTTATGGCTTGTTCATTACGTTGTGGCTCTATAAATGTGGACGTTAAAGGGCCCGTTTTACTGCTTCCGCGTGACTTTGATGCAATGAGGAAATCGTTTATGGTCAGCACTTTACTCACGAGCTTCCTTTAATCAAAACACGAACCCAGTCATGCTAATCAAACACAGAGCCGCTAAAGTGTTCACGGATGTGTTTTATAATGTCGACTTTGAGCCACTTACGAGAGCGCAGTGAAACTGGCCAATTTGCCTGATCCTGTTCCTGTGGTGTAAAAAAAAAAAAAGAAAAGTCAAGAGACTCTCTGAGGGCTAAATTCACAAAGCTGTCAAGTTGTTTTGAACTGAATACCTCAAGGATATCGGGGTAATTGTAGCCTGTTTAATTCTTTATTTATCTTTGACGTAAAAGTCAGAACGATTCATTTCAAGATTTAAGACACCGGGGCCATTTTAAAATAGCTTGAACATTGTAGTAACAGATTGATATTTCACAAATACTTTGAGTTTATTATAGCTATTTATTATAGAATGCAATTAAGCATTCTTCAATGTCTGGAAAGTTATTTACCACAGTATTTTTGAGACTGACTCAAACACACTTTTTTATGGCTGTTCAATATGTTTTTTAATTGTCTGTTTATTTTTTAATTGTTTCAAATATTTTTCTCCTATTTTTGCCATTTTTTTAATATAAAGTGGGTATGGACAGAGTGGTGAGGGTGGGTGGGTTATAAATAATTTTCTATATTTAGTGTATTTAAAAAAAATCAGGAGTCAAATTAACCGGCGCACATTTCTTAAAAAGATGTACATGGGAAAAAAAAAGGCATAAAATCTTGAAAATATTTGTCTTCTGGGTTTCCATTAGGTCAGAGAAATTAATTTAGAACTTGACTAGTTATTTTTTACACATGCATCATTTCAAAATCTGAAAAATTAATTTGAAGTCATAAAAAGTAGTCACTCTGCACAGAGCATAAAAATGTGTCCGATAAAATTAGAGATGGGGATTTTTTAAAAGTTTTTAATGCTTTTAGTGATACAGTATTTACCACTGACAAAATAATTGAATCAAATATGCCCGTTAACAGTCTACACTAAGCCCTAAAAAAGTGCACCACACATTTTATACATGTCACCCTGTATGCGATTCGTATATATTTATCCCCACATTAATTATCATGTACAGTTGGGAAGATATTGGCCTTGTTTGATTGGCCTTGTTTCCTTGATTTAGACCTCCTCTGCTGGTTACAGGGAGAACAACACCAGTGTAAGATACACATCAAAATGACTGGGTGTGTGCACTTCCTCATGGTGTTCGATATCTTATTTGACATTCCCGGTCAACCTTTTAAAATAAACAAATCATTAAATGTTAGGAGGATTTAATTGTCATAATCCAATAACTAACAACTGAAAATGAATCTGCAATTAGGGGTCAATGATAAAGAAGCTACATTTTTCTATTAGCAAACGTTTATGGTTTTGAGAAACTTTATGTTTTATGACACTTACAGTATAATGTCATATGGTGTAGCCCTAGCCATCAACAATAAGTATTTTCCTTACACCTTGAATACATGTGAGTGCACAACCTTAATCATTATCTCCAAAAAGCTTTTAAATATATATCTCAAGGTAAAACTTTTTTTTTTTTTAAACAAATACATTAAATCTTATATTTTGGGTTTTTGGTGTGCGGACTACCCGAGGTTACCCCGTGAGTCCGTCCTGGAGCTCCTCCTGTCCATCGCAGACGTCCAACAGATGTCTTAGGCAAAATCTCACAGTAAAACTAGGAGTTGTGAAAAATATGATACTCCGGCGTTTTGCCAGACAAGACGTTTATCTATGTATCATCTTTTTACTCGTTTAATTCATTTTTATAACTGCACCATATATCTCTTTTTGAGATTATTTTACAGTAATTCCTTTCTGTAAAGCACTTTGAATTGCCATAGTGTATGTGATGTGCTATAGAAATAAACTTGCCTTGCCTTCATAATACTCTTAATTACAGTTTTTGAGAGTCATCACATGGCATTTTTCAATCAGAACTACCCTTGCCTTGTCAATAAAAAAATATTTCATATTTTATTTGACTACTTTTGGATATTTCACCGGCCAGTTTATAAGGTACACTTTGCTAGTACCGGGTTTGACCCCCCTCTTCCCTTCAGAACTGCCTTCATTCTTTGTGGCAGAGATTCAACAAGGTCCTGGAAACATTCCTCTGAGATTTTGGTCCATATTGACATGATCGCATCACACAGTTGCTGCAGATTTGTCGGCTGCTCATCCATGATGCGAATGTTCCTTCACATCTCAAATATGCTCTATTGGATTGAGATCTGGTGACTGTGACTTGAGTATAGTGAACTCATTGTCATGTTCAAGAAACCAGTTTGAGATGATTTGAGCTTTGTGACATGCCACGTTATCCCGCTGGAAGTAGCTTTCAGAAGATGATACTCTGTGGTCATATAGGGATGGGCATGGTCAACAACAATACTCAGGTCGGCTGTGGCGTTTAAATTATGCTCAATTGGCACAAAGTGTGTCAAGAAAATATCCAACGCACAGCACCAGCAGCCTGAACCGTTGATACAACCGTTGATGCTTTTATGTTGTTTATGCCAAATTCTGCCCTTAACATCTGAATATCGCAGCAGAAATCAAGACTCATCAGGCCTGGCAACGTTTAACCAGTCTTCTATTCCCTCATGTTGCTGTTCTCAGCTGACAGGAGTGTCTCCGGTGTGTCTTCTGCTGTTGTAGCTCATCCGCGTTAAGTTAAGTTAACCACTTTATTAATCCCACAAGGGGCAATTATATTTGGGCAGTGGCATCACATCACAAACTAAAAAAAAACACACATTAAAAACAATCATATTCCACATACACATATATTACAACATTACACCTCAAGAATCCTTAATTTAAAAAAAAAACTCGCATTGCAAATACGAACGGCTTCTGGTGCAAAAGTGAACTTGTATCGATTTGTTAGACGCTTGATATTTCATAAACGTCTGCTCGAGGGCAGTGGCTCAAAATTCATATGCGGGGAGAGTGTTTCATCACTCATAATACTCCTAGCTTTCCTTAAAGCTTGCTGCTCATAAAATTCTGTTAAGCTCCGCAAAGGAACTCCAGTCATTTATGAGCGTGACTTAACTATACTTTGGAGGCGATTCTTATTCTTTAGAGAAAGTGCCGGAAACCAACAGAGGAATGAGAAACTCAAAACTCTCATAATAAAGCTATTATAGATGTAAACAGTATAGGCTTTTTAACACTAAAGGAGTTCAATTTCCCTCAGAGCAAACATTCTCGGATGTGCCTTCTTAAGAATAGCCTCTGTATTTTGCTGAAACTTTAAGGTTGTTTCTAAAATGGTTCCAAAATACTTTTACTCTTGAACTCTGTCAACAGCTCTGCCTCATCGCACCATGTGAAAAACGTACAAAATGCATCTTAGCAAAGTGAAGAAACTTAGCAAAGTGCAAGGTAGGATGTGTTGTGCGTTCAGGGATGCTCTTCTGCAGACCCCGGATGTAACGAGTGGTTATTTGAGTTACTGTTGCCTTTCTATCATTCTCAAAAACATTGTGCGCTAAGGTGATCGCAGAGACCATTGGTGGCATTGGTCCTACGATCTACTTAGGCCTTCAATGCGTTTGGGAAACGTAGCCCTGCCGTTCTCCTCTGACCTCTGGCATAAATGCATTTTCACCCACAGAACTGCCGCTCACTGGATATTTTCTCTTTTTTTCTGACCTTTCTCTGTAAACTCTAGAGATGGTTGTGTGTAAAAATGCCAATAGATCTTCAGTTTCTGAAACACTCAGACCAGCCCATCTGGCATTAACAACCATGCCATGTACAAAATCCCGTAAATCTCCTTTCTTCCCCATTCGGATGCTCAGTTTGAACAGTTTGAACAGTTTGAACAGCAGATCGTCTTGACCATCTCTACATCCATACATGCATTGAGTTGCTGCCATGTGATTGGCTGATTAGATATTTGCATTGATGAGCAGTTGAACAGGTGAACAATAAAGTGTCTGGTGTGTGTGAATGTATAAGTAAGACATTTCTTTTCTTTTTTCTTTTTATATGATATCAGAAAGTTTTATCACCCTGACATTTCTGACTTCATGGCCATCTAAAAATATATATATAAAAAATACATTTTAATTTAGAAATCAAAAACATGCTCATTGTTGAACAG